AGTCACAGTGGTAAAGAACAATCCTGGATCAAATGTCTTTGCAGCTTGTTTATGGTGTGAGGAGTGTCTGTTCCATGTCAGATACAGGATATGCATGGTCTGCTGTCACAGCAGTTCCAAGTCCTCCTTGCAGTATGCCATAGGAGGCTGAATTAGTGGTGCTGGCCCTGGGGGTTACAAAATGAGAAAAACTCTAAATGCCTGAGCTGCCAGAGCATCCTCACTTCAAATTCAGTGTTTCTTGTAGCCAATTTTGGATCAGCTGAGAAGCCTCTGGGGGTTAAAACTGGTCTCGTACTTACATATGATGAGCAATACTGCATGGCAGAGATATGCTCGTGTGTTAATGAAACTGAGGGAACTGGGGAGGAGGGGCATAATGCTGTGCAAAGCATGTGGGGTCTCCTAGTAAGGCCCTCCAGGCTGTGAACGTTGCTGGGCAAAACAAGGATGTGTGCTGCAAGAGACATCAGCAGCTCAGCTGAAAGGGTGAGGTAGAGGCTGGGACAGTGTTTCAGAAGCCTCTTACAGAAATTGCTTCCCCAAAGGAATGGCAAAAGTGGCACCTGTGTCTGGGAAGGACAGCGGTCATAGTCCATGGTGTGAGTATGGTTCCTCCTTTCCCAAAACCTCAGGAAAAATGAGGAATTTAAACCCAAGAAAGAACCGAACCTGATTACCTGTAACATGTAACACCCTTTATGAGGAATTTAAACCCAAGAAAGAACCAAACCTGATTACCAGTAACATGTAACACCCTTTTTGAATTGTCTGGAGCAAGTTAACTCCTTACACCATTCTTCTAGCTGTTACTTCATGTGGAACTGGCAAATAAACTGACCCTCACCAATAATCTGGAGTGTTCTTTTCCCTGTTTCTTCCTTTATGTGAATTGAAACCTGTCCCTTGGTGGATCAGCAGATGCAGGTAAGTCAAACTGCTGTTTAAGTGCACAGGCCAACCCCAGACTGCTGTGTATTCATGTTGACCTTTTCCTAATGGGTTCTGTGATCTTCAGTTTTGGCTGAAGTGTGGCACAGCCATGTTAAAAGGAAATAGTGTGAACATCCTGGCAGCAGAATACAGTGAGCTGTGCACATACACAGTGGGTTTTGGAGACTTACCTTCATCAGAACACATTGAATCTGCACTAAGGGGTTGGTTCAGGCAGCTACAAAATTAAAAGTTCTGGAGAAGTTCAATTATAAATATTTTATTTAAGAATATTGATTACACATGAGATGTCATTTGTTACGAATCTGTGTACAGTTACTAGTTACACCATGAAGTGTAGTTAAGTATTTGTTTAAACATTTATTTGGCACTGTCCACAGTATGCTGTAAACAATATTAACTGTATATGCTTCAGCTGCAGTGCTTTCTATGAGTTCTCTAACGATTTCATCAACATGTTGTACACAATTATACAGTTACTGAGTGTCAGTAAAAATTATAAAAACATCTAGAGTAGTCATAATAAAAGTGAAGATGTGGTAAGACTTCAAATTACTGGACCTTTGCTTCTGTAAAAGTACAAGACTTGCTAGAGACATTCACTAAAACTACTGCACTGATATGTTGAACAAACTAATTCCCAAAATGCTGTCAAACACAGTTCTTGGTTTGACTTTCCTTTTGCTGACAATACACTCACGAGGACAGCGATGACAATGAGGTTTTGTTGAACACCAATTTACTGGTCCTTCCCCCAGATTTCTACGACCTCTGCTCAAAAACCTGCTCAGGTTCTGCCCAGCTGGTACCAGAATTCTGGTTCCTGCAGAGGTTTACAGAAATCCCACTGGGTTTGAGCTAGCAGAAGTGAGTGTGCTTGAGTTTCCCAGTACCAGGACTCTTAAGTGGGAAAAACCATGATTAACACTTCTCAAAGCAGGTAAGAAACCTTTCACATTTTGGTAGCTGTATTAAACCTGTAAATCTTTTAACTGCTCTGTCTCTTATTATGTACTTTAAAATTGTGGTCAGGTCCACAATTTGTAATAGGGCAATTGTAATAGGGCAACCGTAAAGTCTATTATGGTCCCTGTGTTTTGGTGCACAACACAAAGAAACTTAGTAAGCAAAATCCAGGTGCTTGCCAAGGAAAAGAAAAGAAAGGCACCAGATCTAGTTCAAGTCAGCCTTGAGCAAACAGTAAAGAGACATCCAAAACAATTCTCTGAAGAGAAACAAATTGATGAACTGTTGACACTTTGTTTTTTTTTTTTTTTGATCCTGTGGCTTTCTAGAAGATCTCTGAACTATCAATGACTTAGAATATACTATTAGAACAAAAATAGAATTACTTTGCATTATAAATGTGCAGTCAGGACTAGGCCTTCACTGTAGTGGCTCTGATACCAGATAATGGCTAAGATTAAGCATTTCTGCTGTAGTTTTACAAAATACCTCAAGTATTGATGTAGAACTTGTAATAGATAAATTAATGGCTATTGTGTGTTATGGGCAAATGGCAAAATAATCTGGACCCATTCTAGATTGCTGGCAGAAGTGGAAGTCATGTGCTTCACATGGTTCTCTAAGCTTTGTCAAATTATATACTTCAGGGTTGAGTCTTCTCTGTACAAGTGTTGTGTGTAAGAGAAGTCAAAAGTTTTAAAACTCATCCAGGATGAGGAAAAAAGGACAAGTGCTTCAGTGCCATGTGTGGCTGAGGGCATCAGTGCCCCTGAAGCAACGTGTGCAGGCTGAGCATAGAGAGCTGACGCTGTCCTGACCCAGTTGGTGTGGCAGATTCTGTACTCAAGGGAATAAAGCTGGAAATGAATCTGGAAAATACTGTGCTTGGCAGAGTTGGAAAGCAGAGCTTTCCTTGGAACACCTGTTTCATTCCAGCTGCCAACAGAGAATGGCACTTTCTTATGGCAGACGTGTGGCTCCAAGTGTTAGGCCACACTTGTTGCTGCTTCTGGACGCAAATCTACCAGGATCACCTGTGAACACAGACTGTACTGGGGCCTGTTCAGACAATGGGGTGGTCAGGGCTATGGCTGCAGTGAGGGCTCTGCAATTAACATGGCCCAAGCCAGAGAAGGGAGGGCCACAGGTTCTACAGAATGCACAGTGAGGGACAGCAGCACATACCTGCTGGTGCCCAGTGGCACTGCTCTGCCTGGGGCATGTGTGCACGGAGCAGCTTGCCTTGGGCAGGATCACAGACAGAACACAAACCTCAGTTTATGACTTTACACTTATCTTGTAAGTAGAGAGGACATGAATTAATGCAAACTAATTTCATAATCAGCTGTTCAGTGCAAGGGAACTGCTTTTTACTTGAAGTTTGCTAAGATGTCACTGAAGATGTTCAGGAAGAGGTGCGCGTGGTGATCCTTGAAGATCAGCGTTGGACGAAAACGGATGGATCTGTCTCCACAGCCTCCCAGAACAACACCTGAAATGAGAATAAAACAGGCCCTCTAGTCATTTCCATCTTTGCCACATATCCATGAAATGCAGGTCTCTGAATGAGGTTCAGCTCACTGTGGGTGGCTAACAGCAGCTCCCCACACCCCTAACCACACCATGATACAGCACAGAGTCACTGGTGTGAACGGCCTCGAGTTTCACAGCAACTCAAAACAACACTGTGCCTACCTGGAGCTGTTCTATCAAACACTTGGAGTACTGGGACTAATCCCAACAGCAGTGAAAAGACTCCATCCAGCACAAACAGCATCTGAGGTTTCAGAGCTGCAGTTCTCTACTGGTTAAGTGTCTTGGTGCCACGACAAGACACTGGCACAGCATCTGAGGTTTCAGAGCTGCAGTACTCTACTGGTTAAGTGTCTTGGTGCCATGACAAGACACTGGAGGTTTCTTTGCAATTCTTGGACATGTCTGTGCACAACCAGAACCCAATACCACTAAGTTGAGCTTGTCCTGCCTTGAATGCAATTCTTGGACATGTCTGTGCACAAACAGAACCCAATACCACTAAACTGAGCTTGTCCTGCCTTGACGCAGTGCCTTGGTTTACTATTAAACCACTTGCCTTCTCTCCCTGCTGGCTTAGTTTCCAAGAACAAAAACCAGTGCCTTTTACACTCCAGAATGTTGGTTTCAGCACAGTTCAGATGCACCATGCCTGCTTCTTTCAAGAGACAGCAGTAACAGCAAAGCCAGCAGCAAACTCAGGGCCCACACACAGTTAAATCCAAACAGAATGTTAGGTGTGGGCCCCAAGGTTCCCCTCCTGGTACCTGGGCCTGTCTGCAGCTGGGTCACAGTTCCATGGTAAAAGAGGAATGTTGTAGATCTATGCCCATTTTAGGCAACTCCTCATATTTCATCATTAGGTATTCCTACCTATAGGAATTAGGTATTCATAAAATTCATAGTTCTTCTCCCTGTGTTTTTCTGAGTGACACTGACCTGTAATTTTCCTGATCTGATCTTAGCCATGCCATGCCCAGGGGCACCTCAGGTCACTGCAGAGGACTATGAAACTGATGTCACAAAAACTCCTGCCCTACACAGATCTCTTCCAGTAACACTAGATCTATAGAGACTGGTAAATGTACACACCATGCACTGGACTGTTCTGAGGTCTCTGAAAACACAAGTCTAAACACAGCGTTGTTTGTAACTTCACTTCTGTGCTCTGATGCTGTAGTACACATATAGCACACAAGAAAGGAAAATTCTGTAGCATTACTTATGCTACTGTTTGTCATGTGAAGCTCATCCACACACACAAACTTCCTTACCTTTGTTTCTGGCTATTGTAATTAACTTGTTCCTAGTTGCATCATTTGGAGTGTCAAATGAACAGAATGTGCCTCTTCCTCTCACTCTGCTGATGAGATGTGGGTAACGAGCCTGCAAAGAGAGGTGAGATGTACACATGGCAGGTGCTGGAACAGAGGGCACCTAGTGACAGGCTCAGCTCTGCCAGGCACTCTGCCAGGTGGGAGCTCTGCTGCCTCTTCCCAGAGCAAGTGCCCAGTCTGGAATGCTCAGACAGCCCTGTGGCCTGCTCAGCCTCCCCTACACAGCACACAATGTCTGAAGGTACAATAGTTTGTGCTCTCCTGCCTGCTATGCCTTGAGGTTGTGGAGAGGAGAGACTGTGTTTGGGTTTATGCTGTGCAAAATGCTCTCTGGGAGGTGAGCACCTGCAAGCCTACCCCTAAATGCCTGATTTTCCATCTCATGTGAGGCTCTGTAGTCAGAGCTATGAGGAATTTCCCTTAGTCAGGGGAGGGAAAGCTACAATTTTCTTGTTTCAACAGCCTAGTGGAATTGGAATAAAATATGAAGGTGCTCTAAAGAGAACTTTTGGGACCATGAAATGCCAGCTGCTTGTGGTAACAAAACCTTCTAGCAAAGAATTTAACTAGCTGCAGTTCATACCTTCAGATACCTTGGGGGTCACTCTCTATTTTGGGTTAAGCTATATAAACTCAGCATTCTTACATTAGTAGATGGAAGTTTACTTAATTTCAGATGGGACACAATTATTCAAGCTTGCATTGAAGTACCTAAACCAGCAAGTTATAACTATGGTCTAGACTCCAGCTGGAGTTCCTTGGTGCAAGTGTTTAAACTGGGTAGGGTCAGATCCTTTCTCATCAGCAAATTTCTCCTTATCTACAGTCCTTCCAGAAGTTTACCTGCAAATCCAGCAGCCCAGTCAGCAGTGCTTTCCCAGCATGGGTTGCATTGTTTAGAAGGTCTTCTGTTTTAATAACCTTAATGACTTCAGCAAGCATCAGGTTCTTGGCTGGATCTCCAAGCCAGGTATTAAAAATCCGGTAGGGCTTGGGAAAGGGAAAAAGAGTTGTGGAACATGTTAACAGGCAAATCACTATAATAAAGAAAATCAAGGCATCACACTAGCAGTGCAAACACCTGGTGTATTGAAAAGGCATGCACTAATCTCACCAATCC